AGGCCCCAAAGTCAAGCCCTGCTGCTTCCCTGCCAGCCTTTGCACAGGGGCCAGGGTCAGAGGGCCCTTGCTGTTCCTGCTTGGCCTAGAAATAAGGAATTTGACAGAGGAGGCAGCACATGGGACTCCCATGACATCAGGTAGCTCTGGGGCAGGCTTGCTCTGACCTGTCCTACCTGCAGGGGAAGTTGGGTTCATAACAGATGTCCCTGCTAATATTTCAGGGTTTGACATGGGCTCAGACCCGGCTAGGGTAGAGAAGAGAGTACCTTGGAATGCAAAGCCGACAAGCAGTCAATTGGGTAGACCCCTTGGTAATCTCTCGAGTGGGTAGTAGTTTGGGTGAGAGGAAATGGAGATCAAAGCATTCCTTCCTTTCTGGGGTTGAATGGGGATATATCAGGTGCCTTTTGCAAGTTTTAGTCCTTGTAGGAGAGATTGGGGGTGTCTGAACCAGAGGTGGCTCGCTTGCTGAGGCCTAAACTCCATGATGTGACATCCTGGCCAAAGAATCCAGCGTCGGGCTCAGTCTCCCTGGGTCTCTTTTGTCACAGTGACTAACAGGCAGGGCAGACAAAGCTTGCATTCAAGAGCCCATCCCTGCAGGAGGACAGAGCAGCCCCCGCTGATGAGGCAGGCACATTGGCATCTGGGGTTTTTTTCCTCCTGAAGCAGAAGCAATATGATTGTTGGCACATGACTCCTCAGGGAGGGGAATGCAGCCCCAGCCCAGGGCCCAGGTTCCCAGGAAGGCAGCCCAGAGTCATCTGATGGTGCTGTCCTCAGTTCAGGGGGGACTGAGAGGGACCCTGACCAGGGCAGGATAGAGGGTGGTGACTCCCACCCTGCCAGACTTCCCATTCCACACCACAGTTTCCTGTCTGTAGATTCTACATCTACAGAGGGTTTCAGACAGCAGGACATAGTCCTTAGAGCAGCCCCTGGTCACAGTGGAGTGACCTTCTATAAAGGAGATGGTCCCATTTTCAAGGCTATAAACCAGGCAATATGTGGATGTCCCTGCACCCGAATTATAGGGGGTGCCTCACCCAAGCTGATTTAATGCAATGAATGGCGGCTGGGTGCCTGCTGGGTGCAATCTGGGAAGTGGGCATCACTATTCTATCCTTAACATTATAAAACTGAAGCTCAGAGAAGTCAAGTGCATTCTCCAAGGTTGTACACCTTATAAATAGCAAAACCAGGATGGGGACACAGGTCTTCAGGTTCCTGGCCCAACCGCCTTCAAATTCAAGGCCGCATTTCTCACAGGCCAAGACCTACTTTGACCTGAAATCGAGAAACTGGTTCTCTGTCCATTCAGTAGGAAAAGCATCTTGATCACCACAACCCTTGTTGCCCCCAGAGTCTGAACTCAGGCAAGGAGTGAGTGTAGCGTGGAGACAGCCTCCCTCCCAGTGACAGCACAGCCCTCCTTGAGAGCTGGCCATGGGAATGCCCATCAGCGAGCCCAGGCGCTGAGGAAGGCAGACTGACTTCTTCAAGAGTCAGATGACTCCTAAAGTTGTAGGATTATCCTGACATCAACACTTAAAATAATCAAAGAAAAATTTCAAATGAAAAAATAGTTCAGTCCCTCATTTACCCCAGGGACTGCCCTTGTCCCCAAGGTCACCCTGCACTGAGGTTTTCTAATACCCGGTCATCATACATAGACTCTGGGTTCAGTGTGTTCCCAGCCAGGCACGCTGCAGACACACAGTAGGGAGTCCGGGGACACCAACCTACTACGCCGTGTACACAACTCCAAGTGCAAGCTGTGATTGCAAACAGATTCCCTCCAAAGCCTCATTTCCAACAACCCTTCAGAATAAAATCATAAAAAAATTCCAGCCCAAAATGAATCAAACAGGAACCGCCTCTTGAATGTGAATTCCACCAGCGGCTTGCTTTTTTGGCCTGGAAACCCCACAGACATTTGATAGATATTTTTTCCTCACACGTCCCGCTCTCCCTCCTGTGCTCTACACCCTCACAGGCTGGGCCGAGGGACCAAGTGTTGGGGGCAGGCTGAGACCGAGACTGGAAGGAGTGTTAATTCAGGCAGGGGAAGAGGCATGTCAGCGCTGCGGTGGATCGCTGGATGGAAGACAGAGTGTCCTTTTCAAGGAGGACCGGCACAAGGCGCCCCGTGAGTCACCACTGACGGCAGGGTAATAACTTCTCCAGACGACAAGGCCGAGGGATGGTCTCTGTGCATGGGGAGGGCTGACGTGGCATTACCAAGTCTTCCAGCTTCATTCCTTCCCTGCCAAGGTCCCCCGCCCCCAGGTGAGAACATTCAAAGCACTTCATCGCCCAATTCGTGGGAAATGAATGGCGCCCAGAGATGAACAACTTAACTCCTGGTGTGACGTGCATCCTGTTGGTGAACCCAGGCAGGTGTAGGGTTTCCCATCTCTGAATCCCCCCACCACCTGGTCTCCGTGCAGCCACCCCTGAAGGTTGGTAGCAGTCTCCTCATTCCAGATCACACGTCGCCTCCTCTCTGCCTTTGATGGTGCTGGGAGCCAGTGGGAGGAACCCAAGGGAGAGAGGTGTGGAGACAGGCCTGGGTCTGAACCCAAGTCATCACTCCCAGGCTGTGTAACTTTGTGTAAATGGCCCTAGACAGCTCCAGGCCTCCTCACCCTCCAGGCTTCTCCACATCCTCTCCACAGCCCTCAGGCGGAGCAAGGCCAGAAACTTTCCAGAGATGCTGTTTTTTTTTTTTTGGATTAGCCTCTTGTGGTAGCTGTGGGGAGGGTCACTGGCGGTGTGACTAGAGCTTCCCGAGCTGGCCTTCTGCTCCAGGGCATGAGACACCTTCCGCAGGACGGCCTGGGCAAGCCCTATTCAGCTGCACTCGCAGCCTCCATATCCTCTCCTCCATGCTCAGGCTGTCTCTTCTGCCTCACCTTGCCTGTGAACAACTCTGCTGACAAAGTTCATCTTTCCAGGTCAGACGTGAAGGTCTGAGCCCTCGTGGCCTGCTCTTCCGTGTTCCCACACAGTATTAGACTCATTTCTCCTCAGACATGAGCTCCCTGAGAAATGGCCACCGCAGCAGCCTGCAGGGCGAGCTCTGGGGACAGTGCCGCGTTTACCCTCTAGCCCTACCGACTTGGCTGTGTAACCTTGGAGACACTTTACTCCTCCAGAACCTGAGAAGAACAATGCCTGCCTCGCAGGATGGCTATGAAGGTGAGAGAACACTCGAGTGCTGAGGACTGAGCTGGCCCTGGCAGCCGTGCCACTAGCTATTGTGTGTCTGGTGCTCAGAACGCAGAGGGGATGAGTCTGAACCGAGTGCTCAGGGGGTTCTTGCATCCTGAACATGGAGGTCCATGTGCAATGACTGGGCTTGTGTGGTCGAAGGATGTGAATATTTAATACGCTCAGGAAAGATCTCAAACCCACACAGCGTAGAGGGAATGGTGTAACGACCCCCGTGTCCTCACGCTCAGCCTCAAGGATGACTGACCCATGCCAGCCCCTTTTGTATCCATGCTCCTTGTCCCTTCTCCAACACAATATTGGATTATTTTAAAGCAAATGGCTGGCATGAAGGAAGCATTTTTATGCTTATAGTGTTAAAGGACCTTTCAAGAAGGAAACACACAATCACGGATTATTCTCATGGCTTGTGACCTCGATGGAGACAGCATTATTTTAGGGAGGGGAAGGCTGAAAGATACTGCAGTCAAGAGGGCACAGGCTCTGGGCTGCGCATCCAGGGCACTTTCCTGGACATCTGGGAGAGCGTGTGGATCTCAAACCTGCTTCCTCAGAATACTCACCTTATCCCAGGCTTTAACGAGTCCTTGATCATCCTTGAGCTATGCTGATAGTTGACCTCAAAAATCAAATACTAGCAATCTGTCCCCAATTCGGAGGAAAAAACTGAGTCAGCGGATGAACTTCTCAATTCCAGGTTCTTCCCTCTGGAGCATTTTCCTTAAACCTCGTGGTCTCTGCATCCATCTGTTTGCAACCCAGTGCAGGCAGACCAGAGTGAACGAACAGCTAGTGAGAAAAGATGAATGGAAAATCCTGGAAACAGCCGACCAGTGTAACCTGAGTTTTCTCTGGACACATCTGCTTGTGGTTGTGATTTCACATCGTGCCGTACAATGCACGTCTGAGTGACGACACTCCTGCTTTGTGAGGGAACAGCAGGTTTTCAGCCCTGGGACGAGCACAGTCTCCAGGTGCTCCTCCCACCAGCAGAACCCCCCAGCAGCTGCGCTGGCTGGAGAGCGAGGGGGGCAGAGCTGACCCGAGGGCCACCGACTCTCCACTCGCCAAGTGCAACACACGGGCACAGACAGGCCCCGAGCAGGCCGCGGCCTTTCTCGGCAGACAGAAGCGCAGCTCAGCAGAGGACTAAGTCTCACAAAAGAAATTCCCGAGAATCATTTCATATTCCGCGTCGGGCCCAAGACAAATATCAAAGCTGGAAAACTTTCAAGCACAGGTTCTCCTGGCGCATGTCTGCTCTCGGTATTCACACTTTCTGTTGGCTGACACGGCGCTCACATCCCAGAGTGACGACATCGGAATCAGCCAGGGCAGCCTGCACCCCAGTTCTGAACTAAATCCTCTCAGGCTGCTACCCCCCCTCGCTGTTCTTCCCTCCCTGATGCAGGGGGTGCTTATTCTAGGTTCTGGAACACAATGAGATCCAAAGTGGGGAGTCTGGCTCGGCCCTCGGAGGTAAGGAAGGAAAAGGGTGGAAATGATTTTGAAAGGCAATTATGGGAGCCGTGAGCCCAGAGTTCAGGTGGGACCTAAAAGAGCATATTCCTCTCACTGACGTAGGTCACCCAGCAGGCCGGTCAGGGCCGAGCGTGTCCTCTGGTCCACTGCCCTCCTCAACCCCGGGCATCTCTGGCGCTTGGTTGACCCACCACTGGAGTCAACCTTGTGGGGACCGCGGGCCTCTCCCCGCTTTTCTAGCATCTGAAGAACATCTCACTTGGATCATGATAGACTCAAAGAGAGACACAGTGCACAATTTTAAATAACTTTATAATTTCCTGATGGATTTAGTTTGTGAATACAAAAGAAAAATGAACAAAGTGTTTACAATAATTATCAAGGCCAAGTTGACTATAACACAATTTCTTTGTAATGTCATTATCCTGTCGGTAACACGGCTCCAGCCATCGTACACACGCACGCGCGCACGCACACACACACACAGTTGAAGGCAGCAGGTGCATTTGCATCAGACACCACCGTTGCGGCTGCGACAGTCACCAAAAGGAACTCAAGCTGCAAGGAGTCAGTCCCCAGTGCTCCTCAGTGCCTCCTAAAGTGCAGTGCTTCCTCCCGAAGCAGAGGGGAGCGCATCCCAGGGAGACCCCAAGTCTCCATCCTGGTGTCCTGATGTGCTCGGCAGGTACCCAGGCTAGTCGTGCATGGGGCAGCAGGCCAGAAGGCATGGTGGGTGGCCCCCAGGCAGGTCTAGCTGCATCAGAGGATGAATGCAATACTGGTGTGGTGTGGAGAGGGCCAGGCTCACAGGGCTGGCTCGGCCCAGGGTGCCTTCTCTGGCTTCGGCAGGGTTCACCTCCTTTCCTGACCATGGTGTCTCTGGGGCCGAGAGACAGCCTGGGCTGGGAGATCTGGGCTCTAAGAAGGTTCAAGGGAAAGACTCCAAGGACCCAAGCCAGGAGGAAATGAGATCTGAGTATAATTCATTCACCTGGATGGCAGGCCCCAGGCTGGCCAGTGGTTGGCCCGTATTGGAAGGGTCACTGGATGATATAGCACCAAGGGGGCAGGAAGGAGGTTCTGAGACCTGTGCAGGGCCGCCGCCAGGTGTGGGCTTCAGAGTCAAGCCCAGGTTACCACACAGTATTAGGCACACTGAGCTGGGACCAATGTGGGGGTGAGGGTGGTCATGGGCCAGACTTTACGGCCTCTGCTCAGGGGTCCTGAGGATGTGTGTGAAAATGGGCGCATCCTCTGAGCCCCCACAGCCTGTGGCTTCTGCTGAGCAGATGTCTCTTAAACCTGGAAGCCACCTACCTGCACGGTGGTCCCTGTTCCCCAAGCGGCTAGCCCAGTCGCCACCTAAGCCAGCTTCGGAGGAGGGGAGTTTGGCTGCCTCGTAGCTTGAATTCCTTTAACAACATGATATTGGTTTTGCATGTTTTTAAACACAGCTCTTTAAGTTTTCAGTTCTACAACTACTTTTTAATATCTTAATCATCTCAACAATGGACACAATGTAACTGCCCCGATTCTCTGAACCACACTGGACAATATCGACAAGCAGAGAAACAAAAGAGGAGGTGGAGGGGGACAAAAATCTGCTCCCCCAAATCAATCCCTAAAACCACCTCTCCCCCAAAAGACTCGGGAGGAGAAATACCTACAACAGGGTCACAGCACTCGCCAAACACATTGGAAAAAAATCAGGAGACACTTGGTTACAGTTTTGACACTAAAAAGTTTGGAAACAGTTTTTGCTTAAAAAGAGTAAGACAGCCATTTTGTTCAGAAGGATTTCCCTATCGCGGGTAGCTTCTCTTGCCCAAACATCCCCTTAGTTCACACGGGGAAAATTCCAATTTAAAACACACACACACACATATTTTTTTGAATGTTTCAAGTCACCGTCCTGAGACGCCCAGGGACTGGCAGTGATGGATGGGTCGGCCTTGCAGGCTTTGCAGTGTGCCCCTCTGCATCTATTCTCTCTTCTTATCTCTTTTCCACGTTTTGACCTCTCACAGGTGGGGAGGCGACGCTGGCGGCAGACACTGCTGACACAGGGCCCGCTGAGACCAAGAAAGTGCCGTGTGAGGCCCACTGCCACGTGGTAACATCCTCCATTTGCTCTTTCCTCAAAGATCCGGAGGGCAGCCAGCAGGCCTCGGCTTACGTAATAGGGTCAAACAGGAGGGCAGGATGGTTCTGGGGTCAGCGGGATTCTAGCAGCAAATCTAAATGTCAGTCCTGACCATCTGCAGGGGAGAAGGATTAGTTCAGCAGCTGACTGAAACTTGGGATGACTTCTTCCTTCTCTCTCTCAGAGGAATGGGTGAGTTCAAGGAGTTCCTCACGGACAACCAGACTTCTACGGACAAAAGCACCAAGTCCCACCGTGGGCCACGGTCTTGGGTTCAGTCTGCTTTGCTAGTTTTGCTAGAGTCCAAGTGTAAGGAAAGAGCGAGAGAAACATTTAGATCTTTACATGGTAAGGTAGAAGGTGATAGGTCAGAACTGAGATGGATTTGGGCATAGTCATTCACATCTTAGTATGTTAAAGCCCATTTAAAAGCTTTCTATCTCAAATGGTGTCCAAGTGCTAGCGAATCTCAATCCAGATACTTCATCAAGAACTCAGTAAGTTCCTGGGATAGAGGTATATGAAAAGACGAGAAAGCACATTTTTTTAGTCATAAGCCCCAAGTGGGATGCCACCCCTTCTTCTTGACAACTTTTTTGTGAGCTTGATTTGGGGTATTTATCTTTATATGCTAAAGGGCAACTAGGGGCCTCACTGGTGTATGTGCAAGGGGTTAAGCCTCAGCACTATGAAGCTGTCCACAGCCACTGCAGCACGAGTTCAATCCCCCGCCATGGAGGTGACCCACATGGTGCGGCAGGCCTCTCCCGTCTTGCCTGCTGCTCCCCTCAGCAGTGTATTTCAGTCAATCTGCCTGTTCTGCTCCTCATCCTGTCTCTGGTGGGACCTCTCACTCTCGCACCTCTCGCCTACACCCCAGCTCTTGTATGCATAAATAAATAAATCCTTAAAAAAAAAAAATAAAGGGCAGCTAGACTTGACAGTGGAATGAAGAGTGTGGGGAGCATTACAGGCAAACTGCATTGGTCTTCAAGGCTCCAGACCTTCGGCAGCAGTTGTGTGACTTTGTGAAACCATGAGAACCAGAAGTGGATCATGGGATGCCAAGTCCTGATGTGATGGAAACTGTGCATTTAGTAAATGTCAGCTCAATGAATGATCAACTCAGGAAGATATTCTAAATGCTAGAAGCCGTATTAACTTTGCTCTATCATATAAAAGCCAGCCATGTTCATGATTAGACTTTAGCCAGGGCCTACTTTCCTCTAAGACCAGTCTCCAGAATCATCTGAGATGCCAGGATGACCACCGGAGAAGGGTCAAGGAGATTCCTTGCTTTGGTTCACAGAGACCAGACAGATGGTGTCTGCCCCACCAGTTTTTCTTCTCTGAAACACTTGTCCAGAGCACATCCGCAAGGATTTGGAGGGGAAGTTACAGGAAGGGTTGCAATGATAAGGGGAAGGAAGGGGGCACAGTGAGAGTCACCACTAAGTGGGCAGGAACAGCAGGTGTTGTATTCGATGGAAAAGGCCAAGTTGGTGAGAGCCAGGGAGGCCTGGTGCTGTCTTCCCCTGTCAGACCAGACAGTCAGGCCAGGCTGCTTCTCTGGGCACAGCCTCTTCGACTTTCTGGGTTGCTCTGCTCTAGTCCTATGAAGGGCTAGTTATCTACCTCAGTTCTTTGAATTATGGTAGATAAAGTGAGATTCTAATACTTCAGCCCTAAAATACTGGGTACTTTCTACATGATTTATGGGCAGTGCAATAAATAAATGGAATTGAGGCAATTGACCATGAGCAACCCTTACTCTCTAACCCCTGACCACCCTCTAGCCAGCCTGGCTATCAGAAAGCATCTCAGTAAGGAGTTTATGAGTAGAATCCATTTAAACCTTGATAAGGAACACTCCACAGCTTCTCACAGGGAGAGATAGTTTTACAGCCGGGAATCAGGGCAGCTGGAGATTTGACCATATAAGTTAATGGACAGTCAAGGGCTGCTGGTGGGAAGATACCAGACTGATGGCTCTGATGACTTTACAGGCAGCATCAGATTCTGTAGGTGAGTAACTAGGGAAGGGGAAAGAAGAAAATGTAAGACAAAAATATTTAGCCAGCAACTCTTATCAGAAGACATGTCTGGTGGTGTCTAGCCAGAGTGGTGGTCAAAGGGCTAGGTTTGAGCTAAGTGGTGTACTTCTTGGTGCCTGATTATTTATGGCTGTCATTGTCTAAGCTTGGGAAGAAGGCCCTTCAAAATGCCAGTATCTTCAACTGGATCTGCAATTTTGGCAGTCAATTTTCTGACTCGCAACATGGAGCTGGCCACATATCATGAAGGGGCTACAGATATGTTAAGAGACCACCACCCACCATCATAGTCCCCTAAACAGTACACTCTTTCAGTTCAATAACAACAAACAAAACTCCTGAATTACCAAATGGGATGCTGCAGACAGGTGAAAGATTCAAGCCCCTGCCAATTAAAATGAGAAATGAGAGAGGCCGATTTGTGAAAGATTTTTCTAGAAAAGATACCGTCTATGAAGATGGGGGAGGGAAAGAGCATGTCTTTTACTGTTTTGACTCAGCCAGGTATCTTACAGAACCTCAGACCTCTCCCTCACTGAGAGCCTTTCCAAGGCCGGTGCCTACTAGCGACTTGCAGACAGTAGGCATTTCACGAATGAACAAATGGAGGAAGGAATGTGTGTGGGATGAGAAACATTCATTTGTGCCAGGAGGAGGTTCCAGACAATGCACAGAGCTGAGGTTCCAGAAAAGGAAGTCAAGAAGAAAGCTAGACGGGTAGGAAGTGGGTCATAAGCGTCAGCGACCAGGGGGCTGCAAGAATAGGTGATGGAAAGGCAGAAGTATTCTTTTGGGGCTCAGAGACCTAGCGTGCAGATGAGGGATATGTTCAGGAGAAACCAGACTGACCCCAGGAGCGTCATCTCCCACCGAAGCAGAGCTGCAGTTGGTGACAACAGCAACTCATGTCAAATCCCTCTTCTCCTTAGAGACACGTGATCTGACAAACTTACCAACTTACGTATAATAAGGTCAAAGGGAGGGAAAAAGAGGGGCAAGGGTGGGGGGGGGGGGACTCTTCACACCATCCTCTATCTGTTTGAGGAGAAGAGCAAGGTGAGTGAGACAGACAGGGCTGGGATATTAGTGTTTTCTAAGCCACCACCGGGCCTGCGTGCAGCTCCCCAGCACAAAACATTACACGTGAAAAGTAAACAAAAGAGACAGTAAAAAGAGTTCCTGTTCTCTCTTCCCCTCTTTTTCTAATACTCTCTTCTTGAAATTTTTTTTTTTTTTTTTTACCCTTTTAGGAGAAAGCACCTGTTGTGATATTAGAACACTCAGCTCTCTGGTCCATTGAGAAGCATTCTCTCAATTTGTTGAAGTCCAAGTAGATTCCAGATTGAGTTTGCACATCGAGGACAAAGGCAGGAGGGCTCTACTCCAAGTCCCTCTCCAAGGGCAGAGCCACCAGCTTCTATAGTTTACACTGTTGATGACCGATGGCAGCTCTTTGTGAAGACTTGGCCACTTACTCACCCATCCTGGATATCAAGAAAATTAGTGCTGAGACCACATCCAAAGCAGGAAGGCAGAGCAGGAGGACAGATGTAGAAATGGTGCTGGAATCACACTTGAAGGACTAAGCAAGTTAGGATAGAGTTTGTAGTGTTTGTTTCGTGCCAAGAAGTTTCCGGATGTCTATTCCTTGTCATCTCCTTCCTTGGCTACTAGGTTCATGATCTCGGGCTGCTGGGCTGGGCACTCTCCACGAAGCAGGGTCAAGATGACTCTTCCAAAGCATTGACCACCTGCTCCAGGATGTCGGGGCAGTGATCTGCTATCTGCTGGAGAATGGCATTGGCGAACTCCTGCAGTTCTGCATTGTCCCGCTCACCTTTCTCTAATTCATTCTGAAGCTGAAAGGAAAGGAGAGGTGGATTTCAGATAGTATCACACGATCCTATCTGTGCAGTCTGTCAATAGGAAACGCCACATTTGCAAAATCAGTGAACCTGGAGGGCATTATGACAAGCGAAATAAGCCAGACAGAGAAACGCTAATACTGCACGGTATCACTTATATGTAGAATCTGAGAAAATAAAAAAAGTCAAGCTCTTAGAGAAGAGAATGGTTACCAGGGGCTGGGGCTGGGGGTAAGAGGAATTAGGGAATTAGGAATTAGGAATTAGGGTACAAACTTTCACTTACAAGATGAATGAAGTCTAAGGATCGACTGTGCAACATGGAGATTGTCAATAATACTATATCGTGTAACTGAAACTTGCCAAGAACATACATATATATGTATACACACACACAATCTCTGTGTGTGTGTGTGTACATATGGAACATATGTGAGATGATGGATGTGTGAACTAGTGTGATTGTGGAAATTCTTTTGTAATATAGATGTATATCAAACCATCACTTTAAATACCTCACACTTTTATTTGTCAAATATACCTTAATAAAGTTAGGGGGAAAATGACAAAAGGAAGCAGTAAGGGAAGTGTTCCTGCATCAAAATTAACAACCAGAAAGGTGTAAAAGTAAGTATCAACTGTCCAGTTAAAATGAGGCCTAAAGAAGTTAGCAGCTAGTACAGGCCCAAAGTCGGTAATCTGTAGGGCAGGGACCCCAACTCCAGTGCTCATAATCCAAACAGTGCATTCTCCCCACTGCGCCACAGCATTGCACACAGGGAGGAGGGGAGCATGGATATTCTCCGATGGGATCTCAATATCGCATGATGGTCATAGCCCTGTGGAAAACATAATTTAAAGGACTAACCCATTTTCTATGTACTACTTTTTCCCTGTGCATTAGACTACCCTACCTTAAGCCTGCTCATTTAGTTAAAGGGATTATTTTGATAACTATAAGTCTTCTGTTTGTTTAATAAGAAGTAGTTTCTAAGTTCCTATTGTTTTAAACACTCTTTGACATTTCTTCAAGCATTAAAGCAACATTTATTGGGAGTGTGCTAGATGTTGAAAGATGAAGCATTTGGTTCTTGTCCTGAAGATCCATTTGGATTAATGGAAAAGACAAACAGGTAAATAGATAATTACCACCCAGCACAGTAAACACCCATAACCAAGGCATGATATGCTATGAGGGGGCGACATAAGACTGTTTCATCTTGCAGGAATCTGAAAAGATGTAACTAAATGCAAAATGGGATCTAGATCTTGGGAGCTGAACAGGAATTTGCATGGGAGATTGAGGACAAGAAGAAGCTGTTTTTGCGTTAGAGCTATACAAGGGTTTGGGACAGATTAAGGAAGCGTGGAATGTTCCACAGGGTTAGAGCATAAGACAAGGGGATTGGGTGGAGAATGACGGAAGTGAAGCTGAAGTGACAAGCTGGGGCCAGGTAGTGTATGCAAAGAGTTCAGATTTAATCTGGTTAAAGACAAAAATACAACGTAACAAAAAAAGAAGTCCAAAAGTTTTTAAACTGTTACTGGGACACATGGTAGCCTTCATTTTCTTAGAAGATAATGAATATATCTTTTCTTACATATATGATGAATAAAAGAAAAACACGTTAGTTTGAGTGTAGGAAGAATCCATCAGGGGAGGTTCAAGGTGAGAGCTAAGACTGATAGGGGGTGGAGTTAAATAAGAGAATGGAGAATAGTTCTGACAGTTCTGGTGGGAAAATTAGACAAATGTGGCTGAAAATACAGGAGGCAGAGGAGATTTTCAGAAGAAAGGGATATTAAGAATTGAGCATTAAGTACATTTAAGAACATGGACTCTGGAGTCAGGCTGCCTGAGTTTCAATTGTTGGTTTGTATGACCTGGCTCTCTCTGAGTCTCAGTTTGCTCATCTGTAAAAGGGGCAACACCATCTATTCCAGGGTGGTTTTAAGGCTCAGTGACATATTAGTATGTCTATTATGCTGAGGTGTGGTCCCTCTCTACCTACTTTATTAAGAGTGTTTCTAATTGGATGTTGAATTTGTCAAGTGCTTTTTTTTTTGTGCATCCATTGGGATGATCATACAGTCTTTATATATATATATTTTTAAAGATTTATTTATTTATGCATACAAGAGCTGGGGTATAGGCCAGAGATGCGGTGGGTGGGTGGGTGAGAGGATTCACCAGAGACAGAGTGGGGAACAGAACAGGCAGACTGACGGAATACACTGCTGAGGGGAGCAGCAGGCGAGACAGAAGAGGTCTGCCGCGCCATGTGGGATTCTCCCTGGCCAGCTGGGGATCGAACTTGTGCTGCAGAGGCTGTGGATTGCTTCATAGTACAGTGCTTAACCCCTTGCGCCACCAGGGAGGTCCCTGGTCTTTATTTTTCATTGTGTTAATGTTCATTGAATTGCAAATGTTGAGCCATTCTTGCATCCCTGGAATAAATCTCACTTGATCGTGGTATATGATCCTTTTAAAGTATTTTTGAATTTGGTTTGCTAATGCTAACATTACAGGTGATTCTTTCTCTTGCCAAATATTTCTTTTCCAAATATTCTATCATGCATGTGTAGTATTTTTAAATGAGCAAAAGAAAAACTGAACAATGTTATTAAACAAAAACTTGTCCATTAGTAACTTCATGATCACCCAGTAGCAGAAAGTGAAGAGCAGATACCTGGCTTAGAATATAATTAAAGAATATTCCTAGAAAGGACTGACATGGGAAATTGAGTCAACACAACCTGACAGTGTCCTCACTTCACATGATTTACTTCAGTTCCATTAAATATGCTAGAGAGTGCAGGCTTCCATCTAGCAGTATTTCTGGGTTATATTCTATGCAGCTGTATTTACAAGGCACCTCTACTCCTACATTTACCCATTACAGAGATTCATATTCATATGACACATCTGGACATTGAGTGTGGTCTAAATCTGCTTTTCCATGTCCTGGACTTTAAGTTAATTTCCAGCAAAAAGAAAATTGCTCAATCTGTTCCCAACTCTTTGATATATTGAAGAAGCAGCATGCTAATTCTTGGCTCACAGAATCTAGATCCTATCAACGGAATGATTAAAACTTGGTTCTCGGGCCTCCCTGGTGGCACAAGGGGTTAAGCATCGCTTTATGAAGCAATCTGCAGCCTTGATCCCTGGCCGGCCAGGGAGCAACCCACATGGTGTAGCAGACCTCTCCTGTCTCGCCCACTGCTCCCCTCAGCAGTGTACTTCAGTCAGTCTGCCTGTTTTGTTCCCTGCTCTGTCTCTGGTGAATCCTCTCACCTCCCCCGCATTTCTGGCCTGTACCCTAGTTCCTGTATACATAAATAGATGGATCTTTGAAGAAAAAAAAAAACTTGGTTCTCTATGCTTTTTAACTGACATACTCCTTTGAGGCAATCTTACCTATTTAATAAAAATAACAATAATAATTATAATAACATCTAACATTTACCAAATATTTTCTGTGTGTCAGGTATTAAGTGCACTTTACACTTCATAGGGTAAGAAACTCAGGAATGTATCCATGTCTACCAATTTGTAAATTTTTAAAAATAAAAATTTATTAATGACCTTTGGGTAAGGAGAGAGAGAGAGAGAGAGAGAGAGAGAGAGGGGTATGTGTGGACTGATCTATATATGTATATTAAAAGTATAGGGAAAAAAATCTCTTAGGAATGGTTGCTTTGAGTGGGCAGAAGTACTTTCGACTTTGTTCCCATATAATCTAATATCACAACCAACATCAATTTTGCAATAATATGCATAAAAATACATAACCTATCCTTCAAAGCTACATGTATTTTTAAAGGTATAAATCTTATATTCTAAGGTTTTGAATAGGGACAAATAGAAGGTATAAAATATTCACTCAAAAAAGCATTGACTGATTCAACAATAAAAAGGAAATGAAAGTTCTGATATATGAAGTATAACATGAACCATGACAGCATTATGTTAAGTGAAAGAAGGCAGTTATGGAAGGCCACATATGGTATGATTCCACTTTTATGAAATGTCCAGAGTAGGCAAATCCAGAGCAGATTAATGGTTCCCGGGGCTGGAGTGGGATGGAGTAACTACGAGTGACTAGTAAGTATGGATTTCCTTCTGGAATGAGGAAAATGTTTGAAAACTGATTGTGGTGATGTTTGCACAATCCTGAGAACATAGTAAATCTACTGAATTGTATACTTTAAATGGGTGCACTAGGGCCTCCCTGGTGGCACAAGGGGTTAAGATACAGTACTATGAAGTTATCCGCAGCCAATGCAGTACAAGTTCAAGCCCCCCGCCAGGGAGGTGACCCACACGGTGCGGTAGCCTTTTCCTGTCTCATCCGCTGCTCCCCTCAGCAGTGTATTTCAGTTGATCTGCCTGTTCTGCTCCCCTGTCTGTCTCTGGTGAACCCTACATGCTCTGGCCTGCACCCCCACTCTTGTATGCATAAATAAATCTTAAAAAAAATAAATGGGTGAACTATATGGTATGGGAGTTAAATGGCAATAAACCGTAAAAAATAAATACTGAGTACTCCATGCAAGGGATTGTGTAGTGAATCCACAAAGTGCCACTGCTTGAATGTGGGCAGAGAGGAGATGGAGGGCAAGTTTCCTGAAGAATGTGGCAGCTGACACTGGAGGATAGGAAAAAGGGTCATTCTTAAAGGAAAAGGAGCATAAGCTAAGTAAGGCACAGAGGAGGAAATGCAGCTGGTTGTTCACTGAAGTTCAATGACACAGGAATTACTGGGCCTTGACAGAAGCAATACCAGTTCTTCCAGAGTGACAGGAGGCCTCTGGGCTGGTGAGGCGTGGGCACTACTCCACAGAGGACCCCCATTCCATGACATGGTTTCAGTGCAGCCACACCTAGGGCACTGTGTTTCATTTCAGGCACCTCATTACCAGAAAAATGGAGACAAACTGGAATCAGTTCAAAGAAAAATGGCAGGCATGACTAAGAAGCTGAAAGGATC